ACACACACACACACACACACACACACACACACACACACAAACCCCCAAAACATCATGGTATAAAAAGGGAGGCCTGCTGGTTAGCTCAGTTGTTTAAGTACCTGCTTATGCAAACGCAGGATACCACAGTTCAATCCCCACCTCCTCATGTCTTACCAGACCTGCCCCCTTAAGGCAGCCTGAGCCAGCAAAAAAAAAAAAAAAAAAAAATCCTTCTAAGTTGCTGGCCTTCAACCTGTGATCCTGCTCTAGCCTCCAAGTAACTGGGATTATGGGTATGTGACACCATGTCTGGCTCTGATATTTTATTATTCTTGGTATCATTAACATACAACCTGGATATAGCAGGTGCACACTAAAAATTTGAATTCAAGGGGGCCTGGCCGTAGCTCAGGCCTTTAAGTGGCTGCTTCCACAAAGCTGTCAGCCTTAGGTTGCTGGAGTTTGAACCTCACATCTCTCCAGCTGGCCAAAAGTGCCCCGAAGGCATTTGAGGAACAAAAAAAAAAAAACTTGAATTCAATCAACTTCTATTTTTTGTTTTAGGTTTCCAGGTCCCTATCCTCCCCATTTCTCTACCCTACAGAAAACAGCTGGGCTGAACCTGTCATGCTCTGTCCCCCTAATATTCTGAGTCTTCAGCTGTCAAAGTGTGAGGTAAGGGAGGGAACCTAGATGGCTTCCAAGGCCAGTCAGATCTAAGGCCACAGTTTCTTGGTCATTCCTCTACTGAAAAAGTCTTTGGCTGGGTACAGCGGTGCACACCTGCAATCCCAGCTGCCTGGAAGGCACAGAGCAAGTGTGAAGGCCACCGGGGTGACACTGGGAGACCCCTAACTCAAGAAAAAAACAAACGGCTATGCATATAGCAAGAGTGTGAGGCCTTGGGTCCTGGAAGGAAGGAAGACAGGATGGAGAGAGGGAGAGAAGAGAGGTGGGAACCAGGCCTGGGGTACACCGCAGAGGCAGAGCACTTGCTTAGCATGGGTAAGGCCCTCGGTTCCAACCCTAGCATTGCTAAAATTAAGTAAATAAAATCCCTGTAAGCCTGTTACTGGCAAATAAAAGCCTCCTCTCTGGTAGATTCTGTTATAAAACCAGTTATTTGAGGCCCAGAAGAGTCAGCCATTGAACAAATGGGGCTGTTGGTCTAAAAAAGCTCCAAACAGTCCATGTCCACTTCCCACACTTCACTGAGTGCCCCCAGGAAGGACGTCAAGGTTTCCAAGTGAAACGCTCGGCTCCCAGCCCAGGGTACCACGGAGGTGGCGGAATCTTTCAAGGTCTGATCTGTTGAAGTTAGGTGATTCGGTGGTCGCGCCTCAAAGGGGACGCCGGACCCTCACCCCAGCTTCCTCTGCCTTTCTGTGGTGCTGAGGACTGAACTCAAGGCCTTCACATGGAGTTCTATCCCCAGCTCCTCTTATTCTGTTGAGACAGGATACTACTAGGTCACTAAGTTGCCCAGGCTGGGCTCAAACTTGCAATCCTCCATCTCAGCCTGAGTGCTGATTAGAGGTGTGCCTCCACACCGGGACATCTCTAACTTTTGCTTCCCAGCTGCCCTGAGGAAAGCAGCTGTAGTCCACCTAGACACCTGCCATAGCAATGAAATCAAGTGACAAGGACAGGGAGTTTTGAAACCATGAGGCCAAATAATCCTGTCCTTGGAAGCTGCTTCCCTCAGGTATTTTGTTACAGTAACAGAAACTGACTAGTCAAGGGCAGGACACGCTAACACGCTCTCAGTCCCGTCCCTCAGCACTCACAGTAAGCCTCTGAACCTACGGCTTTTTGGTTCCCATACGGCCACCGGAGCTGGATGATGGCAGCATAGAGACGGATCATCCCAGACATGCGTTTCAGAAAATTGTCCTGCTGTTCCACCTTGGATTCCTTTACTTGGTAGCCAAGCATTCTGTGTAGGAAGAAAGGAATCATTAAGAGGAAGCCAAAATGAGGGTGAGAAGTCAGAGATCGAAAACTAGCTCGGGGTATTCCTGGCATCACATTTCACATTGTTATGTATTCTTCTACCCGCAGAGCGCTCCGCTTACAGCGCACTCGTGTCCGTGATCAACTTTCACAGAAGCCCTGCACGGTAAACTCACAGGTAAGCTCAGGAGGTAAGAGATACCACTACCCCATTTACACATAAGGAAACTGATGCTCGAAGAGCTTAGATTACCTATCCAGTTTTGCAAAGCTATTAAATAAAAAGCAGGGATCAATTCCAAGCGGGTTCTAGATCCGGCACTCTTCCTAGTATAGTAAGTGGTCTACTGGTGCCTAAATCCACAAATTCCAAAGCTGTCCACTTGCAGGAAATACACATTTTTTAACCAAATACTCCAGGTAAAGCAGAGACGCTGGAGAAGCAGGGAAACAAATCCCAATTCTACTTATGCTGCACTGGGCGCCCCAGGGGAGAGAGAAACCACCTCACCGCTGGTAGTCTTCCAAAGCCATGCCCTCCCTGAACGCTGGGTAGAAAGGAACAGAGTAAGGGCACTTTTTGTGCAGGTGGGCAAGGATGAGGTCCCCAACTCTGGGGTGCAGCTCCCAGATGCCGGAGGCCACAACCGCGATGGGGAAAGCTGCTTCGTGGTGGGAGGCCACCTCCTCCTCGCCTTGTTTCTGGGAACAAAGAAGGGTTCACCTTTATATCACCACTGAGAAGCTTAATGCTACACACCAGCCGCGTCTGCCCACGCCCTTGGTAACAAGGTTCCTCACCACAAATTTCTCAGCCAGCTTGTACTGCACAAAGTCCAGCCCCTGCGGGTTCTGCGTGACGGACACGCAGTGCCCACCACACTGGATGGGCTTTCCGGACAGCAGGCTATGGATCTTGTCAAAGATCTCCTTCAGCTTTGAGCCTGGAGAGGAGAGAGGGGAGGACACAGCAAGAGGCAGAGATGGAGACAATGCGAAGATCCAACTGCAGGTCAATCTCCTCTTCATCCTGTAATCCCAATGGCACCTCCAAGCCAAGCCCAGCACCCATATAGCCGTTTAAAGACTAGAGCAAACCCAGGTACAGAGGAACGTGTGACAGTCAAACCCACACTGTGGAGGGGCCGGGGAGATGACTCAGTGGAATAAGCACTTCCCTGGCAAGCACAAGGGCCTGAGTTTAATCCCCAGTTCTGCCAAAAAAACCCAAAAAAACAAAACCCACACTGTAGGGGTATGAAAACACGTAAGTCATGATAAGTCATGGTTCTGTTCCTTCCCTGATTTGGGAATGAAATAATTCTGAAACCAACACATAAGAAGAGAAAGCATCAGTGCCCCAGACACACAGGTAATAATGTCCCTAGAGGAGGCAGTGACATCTCTAAGACCCAAGGGACCTCCCAGGTCCTCTCCAGTCTCCCCTTCTCTGGAGCCTGCCTCCTCCAGCCTCTCACACCCAGGTGGTGCTGGAGTCCTGTCACACGTACTTGGGGGCTGCAGGGGGGGCTCAGCACCTGCAGAACAGCACTGTGCAACATGAGGATGGAGATATATGGTGAAGAGACAAGGCAGGAAGAGAACCGAAGGTTCTACTGCATGAAACTGACTCCATCCCTGTCACTGGTTCTGTAAGATGACCATCCTGGGTACACATCCCTTAAAAGAAGACAGTTTATTTGAAGACGGAGGACCAGGTGTAGTGGCAAACACCTGCAATCGCAGCGCTCAGGAGGCTGAGGCAGGAGAATAGCTGCATGTTCAGGGGCTTCAAAGTGGGCTCAAGGTCATTCTGGACTGCAAAATGAAACCCCATCTCAAAAAGAAAGAAAGAAAGAAAAAAAAAACAAAAAAACAAAAAACAAAAACGGAAGACACAACAGCTACTATGGACAAGTAGAAACAATTTGAAAGTGAACCCCATCTTATTTTTGAAAACATCTGAATTAATTCAGGAGGAAACCAAGAATCAAATAGTGAGATACCACAGAGACTCGAGCCTTCTGAGAAGATAGAATACGGCCACTTTAGCACAGACTCTGCGGCTCGCGCTCCGGATGTATTCCTGCTACTCCAGTCTCGTCCCCTCTCCACCGCCCCCACTGCACGGGGCATTTATCCCAGCTCCCCACCGGCTAGCCAACATCTTTACTCACACTTTCCTTTCCTCTAAGGGTTAGCACAGCAGCTTTGGCAGCAGAGCACCCATGGCATGACCCTGGGTTTGATTCTTAGCACTCCAAAATTAAGTTGAAAAATAAAACTGTCTCTGAACCTAAGTGCTCTGGGCTGCTCCCTCTCCCTCCCACCCTTCTCCTTGCCCCTCCCTTCTCTTCTGGGCTAAGAATCTAACCTAGGGATGTGCCACCCCTGAGTTACAGCCCAGTCTCCTCCTTCATAAGGCTATCCAGGCTGGCCTCGACCCTGTAATTTTCCTGCCAGCCGCTCCAGTAGCAGGATTACAGCCCTGCACCATGTCTGGTGGCCTGGGAATTTTCAACAGGCTCACAGTAAGGACAGTGACACAGGGCAGAGCCTGGCAACACATAACATGAACAAAGCCTCAGCAGGACTGGACTAACTGCATGGGGGGGAACAAAATAGGAAGCAGTCTTGCAGTTGACACCGGGCATCCAACTAAAGTGATGGGGTGGAGATCGGACTGACTGCTGCAAGGAAACTGAAGAAAATGAGGCACTGAGGGAAGATGACAGGTTCAGAGCTGCATGCACTTCACGGGAGGGCACTGAGATACCTGGGCAGAGATGTCCCTCGAGTGACTGAGCTAGAGAACATCATCAGAAAGGGCTGGTGAGATAGCTCAGTGGACTAAGTGCCTGCTTAGGCAAGCGCAGGGGCTGGGGTTCAATCCCAGGCACCACAAGCTACACTGGCCCCACCCCTAGGCACACTGAGCCAGCCACCAAGACCTTGTGTGGTGACACATGCCTGTTATCCCAGCACAGGGGAGGCTGAAAACAGGAGGATCACTACAAGTCTGGGCTGTGTAGTGAGACCCTATACTAAATGAATTTAAAAAAAAAAAACAAAAAAAAAACCAACAAAAAACCCCAAAACCCCCATCAAAGGAGAGGTGACCCAGAGTTGGGAGTCATTAGCACCCAGGTAAAGTGTGAGGCCAGTGGAAGGCAAAGAGCAGAACACCTACAACTATGGCAGGGGTGGCAAGTGTGTGACGCATGCATGGGGGAGGACGGACACACAATGGGGGCATAATCCTGAAACAATGGTGCCTAGTAGCCAAAGGAATGAGGGCTGTTTCTGTTATG